ATATGGTAGAGAATGTGACATTGCAGCTCCATATAAGTTATTTATATCGTAGTAAATCAAAAACGAAGTTGGTAAATTGAAGAACATTGAGATATACCTCCTCTGATACCTTTTTCTATGAACAAAGCCATATCACTGTCAGTCAACAGCTCTATTTCAACATTAGTGACTTTAAGCATAGCATCAAAGGCTAGACCTGGCGTAGTTTAATAGTGCAATGCATCTAAATTGTATGTCTGCATACACATTTGACGGAAATTTTCGAAAACATCACAAAGCAGCAAAACATCAGTTTTTAAGTATAATTCAGCGCATTCCTGAAGATCTTTAATGTTAAATGCCTGCCAAACATTTAGTGCATGCTGATAGTCATCAGTCGAAATAGCTTCGTTTTTGACTGTGCTAAAAAAATCGTCTTTTTCTGGCAACTTTGTATCTTTTAATTTCTCCCATGAATTTAGATATTCATAAGGAAAAACCCCCTTCTTTGTTACCAACTTAAACTTAGCATCTTCAGGAAAATGTTCCCTTACTATTTTCTTTTGATGATGATCTAGATATGATGATAATTTATCCAGACTACTAGGTAGTAACCGGAAGGAATCAAGAAATAGAAAACTGATTTTAGTACCGGCAATGGATTTTGTAAACGAAATATAACGCTCTTTATTTAAAGGTAATAAAGTGAGATTGCCCTTGATATCAGTGCTGAGAGCTTTGATTATGAAATGTGCATCGTATCTAGAAAAATTGTGGAACAACACAGGTACAATAAGTGAATTTGAATAGTTCAAGTTGCAAGACATATGTACTGCTCCTCTATATTTATCTGTGAAGTGACAATGATCTCTAGCTTTCACTTCGTGTTCATCAAAAGGTTTCTCACAAATACTACAACTGGAAGCCAATCGGAAAAGTTTCTGCTCAACACTGGTCAGTTTTAATGGTTCTGCTTCCTGATAAACTTTATGAAGTTCATTGGCAATGTTGAGCAATTCATTAACAAACCAACTTTGACAATCAGCACCCGTATGCAATCTAAACTTGGAAGAATATTTATTTCCATAATTCGACTTAAGATAATAAGCTACGCTGAAAGCCACGTGCTTTTGACACTTTTGTGTCTTGCTTGCACTATTATCATCAGCATTATCATTATAATCCATTAGTATACTTTCAATATCTGCATAAATGGTAAAAGGAACACATAATTTATTGTGAAAGTTTTTAAATTTCATAATATTATTAGTTGCATTAGGCATAACGATCTTAGTGCTGTTAAGCTGTTTACAATCTTCAGAATGCTTACTCAAATAAGCTTCACTTGAAAAATAATTTAGACACCTTTCACAAATCCATTTTTTGTGATCTTTCCAACCTATTTGTCTACATATTAGGCGTGACAAATTTTTTATATACGCAAAATGATAAATAGTGTCAGCATTCCAATTGCAAACATCATTATTGGAAAACATAAGTAAATTGATTTTAGGCGTGAAATTAGTTTTACTAAGTATCAATGGTACAACTTCATTCATTCGATTGCCTACGAGTGTGAAGACATTTATCGCTAGTTTGTTCATAATCTCAAATTTGGGTATATCTTTCAAATGTATAGGAAATCTAATATTGTCGTATTTCAATACTCTACTGAAATGAGGATATGATGATTATCGTGCTACATTTTTTTCTGCGCTTACAACTGACCACAGAAAGCAGTAATTATCATCATTTTGAATATTGATGACACTTTTTTTCTTTTTTATAAATGTTGGTGTAGGAACACCAACATTTATGGGTCAAAATCTATTAATATTCACTTTCAAATGTAAAATTTCCAAAAAGCCCATCCAGAATCACGTTCTTGGAATTCTTCTAATTTTGTTAAAACTTGATCAGTGACATAAACTTTATACCACTCTTTTAAATTGGTATTTTTATCGATTATATTATTTTTTTGTAGCAAAATGTTTGATCGATCTTTCAGCAGTCTGAGGTTTAATGAACACACTATAAAAAACAACGTTACATTTTAACATACAAGTATCAAGCTGTTTTCTTATTTGTATCGCAAAACTTTTGAACGCTCTCTTGAAAAATAATTTTGGATCTTTTATTTTCAAATTAACTATAACGCCTGACTTAATTCTATTGTTAAAGCATGAATCCACATTTTCCCAAACAAGTTCTCTATTTTTGTTTTTACGATTTATTTGACATCTGAAAATTGCAAGGTAACTCTTAAGAAGTGACAAATTAGACTCTATTTTTGAAAAATTTTTAACACAATCATACCTATGTTTGATACAATTATCAAGCATTCTAATACATTTTTTAATCTCTTTTCTATAAAAATTGTAATCTGTTTTTGTCCTAACTAATCTACTCACCATTTCTATTCTTCTAACAAATTCGTCAGACATGGCATCGATTACTTTTTGGCTACTCATTTTGTTTCTTCGGAGATCTGTGCAGATGGTTAAACGTGAGATCACTGATGATAACTGTGCTCAAGATGCTGGCTTAAATACAGTGAAAATCTAACAAACATGCCTATTTTTTTTTTTCACTGATACTGAATCATACGATTTTGTTTGGAAAACATCCTACGCACATCAGCAGATCACATGGAGAATAACGATGATGACCCTCCTCCTCCTGACCTTAAATAGATACTATATTTTGTTTGGATAAACATGCACATCTGCAGAACAATCTAATTTTTCCCTTGATATGGAGAATGACGTAGATGATGATTACCGTCGTCGTCCTCGTCCTGACATTGGATATCAATTTTGTTTGGAAAAACATGCACACATGCAGAAAAATCTAATTTTTCCCTTGATATGGAGAATGACGTAGATGATGATTACCGTCGTCGTCCTTCTCCTGACATTGGGTATCATGCAATTCTGGAATCCTACGATTTTGTTTGATCATAACATCCATCTTACATTTCTATGCAGTTGATATGGATGATTTTTTCCTCAAATATCTGTATAAATTGCTAGTGTGTGTAGGCAGTCAGTATCAGTTTCAAGTGAAAACTCATCGAACTGCTACTCTAACTTACAATGGCAACAACACCAACAACCATAATTGTGTTCACGGAAGATCCAGTGAATTTACCGATAAATGACCTCTTGTTGGTCATAAAGGAATTATTTCAGTAAGTAACATTATATATTTATCTTTTGTTCTCTCTCTCTCCACTGTTTTGCTATTGCTATTGTGTTATTATTATTGTTGTCCTTCCGCACATTATGGTAATGTTGTGGATGGATGGATCATGTTTGAAGACACTCTAAAGCATCCCAAAAGAAATAAAACAATCACCTGGTCTGCCAGTAGATATCAAGTTCTATTCATCATATCCTCAGAGCTAAATTATGTTAAGTCACAAAAGTATTATTGCGAGAAAAACATGAGTTTACAGGGTTTTTTTTGTATGGTTTTATTTGATTGCAATTGCACGATTTGCAATTGGAGATTTAAATCAGATATTCGACAATAGTTTACTTTTAGGTCTGAGATACACATATTATATTATTCTTATTCTCTTTTCTTTTTTCAACAGATACGGTGTCAGAGAGATCAAAGCCAGTGGTGACAAAATATTTGTCAAATTGACCTACTCCCCAAGAGCAGCGACGTTAAAGCGGAAATTCGGCTTGCTGCCTATCAAATATCTTCGAACTAAATTGGATAAAGATGCAGAATTCCAAGTATTAGAACGAATAGTTAAAAAATATAGATTTAATTTATTAGACGAGCAGTTGGAAGATATTAATAGGCAGCAAGCGATAAATGATCGACCAGGGACAAGTGGTGGTGGTGATGGTGGTGGAAGTATGCAGAAGAAGAGAAAATTGTATCTAGAGCCACCTGTCCTGCAACATGTGGAAGAGGATGAGGAGGATGAGGAGGAGAAGGAGGAAGAGCATGAGGAGCAGCCCAGGCAGATGCATACGGTTGGTGCAACACCATCATCAGCAGCATCAACCTCAACTGGTAGACGTGGTGGTGGTGGTGGTGGTGGTGATAATGATGATGATGACATATTGTTATTGTCACAAAATATATTTTGAATAAAAAACTGATTTCTTCACAACTAATGTTTTATTCACAGAAAAACACACACACACACACACATACACACGCACACACACGCACACACACGCACACACACGCACACACACACACACACACACACGCACGCACGCACGCACGCACGCGCACGCACACACACACACACACACACACAGGATTTTTCGTTCTTGGTACAGGGATAGCTTGCTTAAAAGAAAATCATTTACTCTATAAGTTAGGCAGTAATTATTCACAAGAAATTTATTTGAAGGGCCTTAAGGATAGTAAGTGTATCTTCTAGTGACAAAATAAAGACCAGAATCTATTTTAGTAGATGGAAAATTTCTATTGTCGAAACAAATTTTAATAGCGGTGCGATGTGATCTGAAATATTAATATTTCGTAAAATTGTGAATGTTGAAAATAATTTGACGAATTTTCTTTTAAGCTGAAAGTATATACAGTATAAAGGATAAGTAAACTAAACAAGTGATATTCAATTATATATTGATTTATTTTTGGAAATTACAATTTATTAGATTTTACGGCTAACAATTAATATAAGAAAATTGGAAAAGTGATAAAGAATGATATATGTATTCATTGTTGGGAAAATTAAAGTTTATTAGGTTTTATAACAATTGATATTTTTGAATGGCATTTTCTATCATCGTCGAAGCATAATTCGCTTAGGATCTAGCATCAGCGTTAAAGTATTAAATGCCTAAAAATACATCTGTATAGAAATAACTTACATAAAATTTTTTGACTATCAGATTTTATTATGGTGATGTGATCATTTTGTAGTACTGTAGTTGTACACAGTAAAGGCTGCTGCACAATTGCCCGGGAACGGGAACGAGAACAGAAACGGAAACGAGAGAAAAGTTCAATTACATATTATCCAATACATACATGCACAACAAACGGAAACGGTAACGGGAACGAAAACGGACGAGTTGGCCAAGATTCAACTTTCCCGTTCCGTCGCCTTCTCGGAGCCAATCAGAATGCTCAGAATCAGGACATGCGCATTACAGTATTAACCTAAAAACTGAGTTTTGTTTATTTTGGTCTTTGTTTGGAGTAGTAACGCTAACGCTACGATTTCATTATGAATGACGAATTATTGATTCAATTAGTGGAAAAGTGCACATTTACAATAAAACGTTGAAGGAATACAAAGATGATAAAATGAAAGAGAATAATTGGCTATCAATAGCAGAGTTTCTCGATTCGGAACGTAAGTATGAACATGTGGTGCTTAGCGTCCTTAGCGATACGATTATACATTTTTTGTTTATAATGTGAACAAATGCGAAAAATCTTTTAGCTTTCCACTCATAATGGTATTACAAGATTCCATTTAAATAGCGTAAATTGAAGCTCTTAGTCATTTTGTATTAACTCATTATACGCTGGTTTATGTTAGTGCACAGAATTTATAATTCAACAATACATGATAAGCTTTATCATAACAGATTTAACACTTTTGCAGCAGCCATAGTGAAAAAGAGGTGGGACAACCTGAGAGACAGGTTTGTTCGAGCCTATAGACAATACAATACTGTGCTTCCTTCAGGTTCAGGTGGAGGAACACAAAAACAACCGGACTTCCCATACTTTGAAATAATGATGTGGTTAATACCATTCACCAGGAAGAGAAAGTAAGTCATACAGTGTAATTGAATCATTTTGAGGTCTACATAGTGCCACCCATTGTAGGCTGGCGCTGAGAGTTCAGTGTGTACTTTTTGTCAACCAATTATTAAACCTTCATTTATAAGTACTTCAATAAAAATTACACCTGAAGTTTATAATCGTCAGGTGGAATGAACTATTTGTTTTTGATTTTTATGAATATACCAGTCCTCTTTGTATGTTAAGACAACTCTATTATATTTCAGGCTGATATCCTCGACTGCCCCAGAAAGTGCTTCAAAAGTGCCATACATTGAGGAGGTTGAGTCTGAACCATTACTAGATGATTATGTTGTGGGATCAGATGGTGTATTGTCACCTGAGCCTACCCAGTCTAGACCTACCAGCTCACATTCATCCAGACCTGGTAGTGCATGTGGACACAAAAAGAGCATCCAGGAGTCAATGGCCACAGCTTTACAAAATTTTTCAAAAATATGTGAGAAAAGATTTGGTGAAAATGCTGAAAACAGTGACACACATTTTATGACGTCCATTCTCGATGACATGCAACATCTGCCACTGAAGAAAAAAATTAAATTTAAAAAAGAAGTCATGGAGTTACTAGTTAAATACAAAAATGTATACTTGCTACTTTTATTTATAAAAATTGATACTAAAAAATACTACTATATTTTTAATTTCCATACAATAGACAGTATGCTAGCATATTTCAAAATCTTCCTCTGTTAACATATGCCATTTGCCATGACACTGCTCCAGCATCTGATATTAAATATTCTGCTAGCTTGTCTCTCAAAGCTATAGTTGCACTGGCTGATATATTTGCTCCCACTCTGCCAATTGGTGTCAAGTTGGTGTCATTTTGGATGATTTCTCTCCATTCACCATCCCTATTTGTTCCACCATCATCCTTCAAGGAGTCTATTAATGTAGGTGGTACATATGTCGTTGGTGCCTCAGTTTTCAAATAATTATGTAGGCATATTGTAGCTTTTACCACAGCCTCTGTTGTTTTTATGGAGCATAGCAGAGGAGAGCGATAAACTCTCCATCTACTTGCAAGTATCCCAAAACTATTTTCTATGACATGTCTTGCTCGTGATAATCTGCAACAAAATTTGTCAGAAATATTCATTTTGTCCTGTTTCCACATACCTACCTGTAGCTGAAAACTGATTTCTGTTCGGTTAGTTGCCTCCCTGGATATGGCCTCATTAGATATGGTTTCAAAGGGAAAGCTTCGTCGCCAACAAAAAAATAGGGCATTTCAACATTGCTACTTGGCAATTGATCTACCTTTGGCAACTGAACTGATCATTCATCTAACTGTTTTCCCATCTGAGATCTCCGAAATACACTAGCATCATGTTCAGAGCCATACGCACCAATATATGCCCAAATAAATTTATAATCAGCATCACAGCATGCTAGTAAGATAATGCTAAAGTGGTTTTTATAATTATAATACAATGACCCACTATTCAATGGGCATTGAATGTGAACATGTTTTCCATCAATGGCCCCAAGTGTATGTGGAAAATTCCATCTATTTGAAAACTGGTGGCTGATATTAATCCACTCTTGTTCAGTAGAGGATTTCAAGTAAATAGGTTGCATTGTGTCCCAAATTGCGGTGCATGTTTCAAAGATCACTTTTGAAACAGTTGAATGTCCAACGCGGAATTCCCATGACAAACTTTGAAATGATCCTCCATGAGCCAGAAACTTCAAAGTCATAGCCAACTTTAATGCAGGGCTTAAATATTCTCTCCTACTATGTTTTAGTAGTTTTGGCTTAAGGGGACACAGGATACTGTCAAACTGATATGGTACCATTCTTGTATATTTAAAAAACATTTCAGGATCCTTTGTTTTCATATGGGTAAAAATATTTCGAAAAGCCCCTTTCTCATTCCTTTTTCTGAATATTGGTCTGACCCACCATCTATAAAATATATAAATTCCAATTAGTATGTGATTCATTGTTTTTTCAAATTTGGCCTACCTTCTATTTTCTTGTGTCATTAGATACAAAAAGACACATTCCAAAAAAGAAAGGACAGAAAGAGAAACTGTTCGTCAAAATCCATTTTTTTTTCAATCAACTATTTTTTACCACAACTGTTTACGAGCAGCGAGGAACTGTCAAAATTGAATAAAGTAAGGTTAGGTACAAAAATTCTGTCATAGTTGTCAACTGCTTCCGAAGTCTCTCGTTCCCGTTCTCGTTTCCGTTTCCGTTCTCGTTCCCGTTACCGGGCAATTGTGCAGCGGCCTTGATAGTATAATAATGGGTACATATTATTTAGGTGGACTCTGTTTTTGCTTTATATAGTTACGTGTTCTACAATTTTAAATATACTGAAGAAAGGACCTGAAATGGAAGATTGTAAAGTAAATTGCTAGTATAACTGGCATTTTGTTTCTGTTTTTGGAAAAAAACATACCTGATTGCCTTTAGTTTTCATCAAACTTTATCCTTCATCTATAGTTTATTATCAAAACTGCATACAGTAAAGGACTGCGAGGAATATTGCTGATTTCTTTGTAGAGTTATCGTCCATAGTGGCGCGACGATTTCTACTTCGGAAGGGGTTGCAAAGTAGAATTCACCTCAACATTTTGCAACATTTGTCATCATTAAACAGAAATAATTAAAGTAGTGATCTGTAACTGATTAATATTAGAAGAAAAGGATTAATTTGCAGCTTTCAGTTAGTCCATGTTCGGACTACCCAGGCCCCACCACGAGGAGGTGGCTGCATATCGAGTCCCGGACCTTCTTCCACGCGTCTTTCAGTTTCAATAAAATGATAAATACGTATTACAAAAAGAAAACAAATGAAACTGATTTCACCAACATTAATATTATGGACCAATGGGAAAATACCTTATCGAAATGCAATTTGACAGAAGCTGTCAAAGGTCTCAGAATATCAGTGATTTCTAATAAAATATTGAATAAAATCGTGAAAATTCGACTGTATTATAAACAAAACCATTTCTTGATTCCAACATGATGCTTTTGTACAGAGAAAACAGGTCAACTTTCATGTATTTTGATTTGTGTTATAAATTTACATTTAACAATCAGTTATCCCCAAAAGCCAATGGGAATGCGACAAATAATAGGTCGATTTTCTAGCTGTTAAATTTGGCAGCAGATTTGGACGTTTGTTACTGCATGACAATCTCGAATTTAACTTCAATATACTGTTATCATTACATACCTGTTGAAAAGTATGGATTTGTCTGTATTTTGCAAGAAAATAGAATATAAAATACATTCCATCCAATTCCTCATCTTCCTTTACATCATAATAGTAATCATTTATTAATTTACGAGTTATTGAATTTCTGCAAAGCAAAAAAAGACATTGTCCTCTCCATCCTAAAACACAGATAATATGTGTAAGACGTGTCAATCCCTACATCTCCGTGATGCATAATGCAATTACTATAGACATAGACAAAAAAATTTGAAAAATGTCTCACAAATAATGTCTTTTAAGTCCAAAAATCAAAAAACTATTAATGTTTATTGTTTGAATGCCTTTTCACTAGTGGGGTTATCTATCTGTCACTCGCAGGGTTGCCAAGTCTAACGACGATCACGTCCCGTGATGAAGGGTGCGACATGAATCTTTTACATTTGCTGGTTTTGAATTTAAAGTAGGAATACAAACATAGTACTTATGATAGTTGGAGCTAGACTGATAACACTTCTTGAAGAATATTTGAAAAATGTGAACACCGTCATGGTCTGTTGTCAAATTGCAAATGAAGTATCTGAAAATTCTTACATACAGTGATCATTTTTAGCAGATGTGTTGTATCATCAAATTGATGAACAAATATAAGAAAGCTCTTATATACCTACAAACAGGATTTTTCATATAAATTTACTAGGTATCATGATATATATAAGCATCTTTGGTGGATTGTTCGATCCGGAATGGGAAAGATCTCCTATTTATGAAAATATATATATATATATATATATATATATATATATCATCTAACCGTTGCAATCAATGCACAAAAACTGTGACATATGATTTATAGCATAACCCGCTGCCCTATCAATACAAATTTAAAATACAGGTCGCCTAGTCGTGGGGATGCAGTGGTCGGGATGAATATCACAGCAGCAACTGATGATTTGGACATGTCTGGTAACAACGTACGAAGTGAAACGCGCTAACGTCACAAATTTGAAGATTTTGTACAATTTCTTTGAAAATGATGAAAGATATGTCTGATTTGGCAGGGTAATGTCGCAGCCAAATGGCAGTCACTCTTTCTGACACAGTCCGGATCAAAAGACGACGATACTCGTGAAATGTATTGATACTTCTAAATATAGGATCCTATCGAATATCCTTACTGTCAAGATGTATAACCCGAGGTACCGACTGAGCTATTTTGCGGCGTCTTTTGCATTTCCAAGTGATGAGCAACGCTTTTGGGAAAAATTCCACGAATACTCTTATAAAGCATAGTAGAGTATATTTCAACAGTTGGCGGAGCTTACTCCACTACCAGGGGTGTGAAACGGGATATTAGTGCACAATCTGGCAACCATGTCGCACCCTCACAAAATGGCCACACAAGTCACGGTGTTGTAATTGAATAGCATGGAATTAAACCTTCTTCAGACTATATGTTTTGTGACTAGGACCAAGGGTTGACAGATCCCACACATGTGTCACTCGATGAGTCTTGAAATGCAATAATCAGCTGTATTCAAATAATGTCTAATATAAATATAATCCAGAATATGTACTCAGTGAAAAAAGAAAAATATTGCAAATTTCTAGTTTTTCTGCAGGTTTTTGGTTTGTTGGTAGCTGTACGACATATATTTGGGTATTTCTAAATCGCTGAGAATATAGTGTGGATGTTTGTTAAGTTCCTGAACAACGAAAAATATCCAACTTTATGGATGTATGGATATTAAAAAACCAGAATAGTTTTGTGGGAATATCAATCTAAGGTGTCATAATGGTTCTGATGAACGGCAAGTAAATGAATGAATGTTTGGAAACGAGCAATATCTATGAACTTTTTGATAGAGCCAGTCATCAAGTAGGTGCTTAATGGCTATCTGCAAGAGGTTTATAGGAAAGAACACCCAGTATCGCATATCAATTGAAGAAAATAATATAAACATGAATAAAAAATCAACAATAGTAATTAAAACATGATTTTAATCAAAAATCCAACATTTCTTTAAATTTTGACTGAATTATATGTAATTTCTTAATATTCAATAAGCTGGTGATGTTTCAATGACAAGCTGTCATCTCATACTTTGACAGTATTTTGTTTTCAACATTTCATAGCTGTTGGTTGCTAAAATTTGTTGATTGGAACTTGAAGCTCATCCGTTGTATTTGACGGTCTGTGACCCTATAGGTAGGGAATAACGGACTGTTGTTGGTTAAATTGGCCCCTGGACGCACAAAAATTAAACGATAAAATGTGATTGTTCAAAAATTAAAAACAAATATAAAACGACTATGAATAATATATATCTAAAAAAGTAAATCTAAATAAGTAAATAAATATTCAACTGAACAAATGGTAATTGGTTGCTGTGTTAGGTGTTTTTATAATCCTTGAATACATTCAATTTGCTTCTCAATTTGTACAAAAAAAGTGATTTACCAAAACTTTAATGTATCATCTAAGTTACTTCACTCTCTTGTTTGTTATCTATTTCATTG